CTGTACTTATTACTCTTAAGTTTCCTCTTATTTTGAACCCAGTGATTTCACCTGCCAAGAGTTCTGAATCTTTATTCCATCCTTTACTGGAAAGCAGTGAGTGGACTGGGAAAAACTGGGTTCGAGAACCGATGTATTGGGATAAAATCAGATTTATTGGAGACAAACTGTTCAAGTGGCTATGCAGACAGCTCTGTAACTTAAGAGGCCAGTGTAGCTCCTGACAAGAAGTGTTTGTGCAATAGAACACTTGTTGGATGAATTAATGAAATAATGACTGATAGCCGTGATAACCCGAGACACTGGTTAGGGGTCTCTGATACTAATTCAAGCGAAAATAGATGGAAGTCTGGTGGAGGCTAGTTCAGGCATGAAAATGGAGGATTTACAGAGGTATTTGAAAGGCAAGATCAATGAGAGTTGTTGAGCAATTGGATGTCAAGCCAAGGAAGAGGAAAGAACCACAGTGAGGCTCATGTTTCTGGACTGAGCGTCAAGGAGGGTGCTCCTGCTGAGAGCAGGACTAAATGCCCCCCACCGCAGCCCCTCCCACAGCAGTGCCTAAAGCCTCTGGGGAAGGAGCACTCCCTACGTCACCTGCGTGTTTGTTTAATGGGAGTAAGACTGACGCCTTTACAGACCTAATGCAATTGTGACATGGATATATTTGATCAAAAGACTCTCCAGGCGAACCTTAAAGACATCATGCTCAGTAAAATAAGCCAGCCAGAAAAAAGACAAATAGTGTATGACTTCACTTATATAAGATACCTAGAATAAGAATATTCACAGAGATAGAAAACAGAATAGCAGTTACCAGGGGCTCAGGGGAGGGGAAGAGTGGGGAGCTGCTGTTTACCAAACACAGCGTTTCAGTTCAGGAAGATGGAGAAGGTCTGCAGAGGGACAGCGGCGATGGCCGTGCAGCACCGTGGACCTGCCTCAGGTCACTGAAGTGCACACAGAAAAATGGTGACAACAGCAAATTCTGTTATATTTTGCAACACGGAAGTTTTAAATGTAATTTCTACCATCCTTTGGTGAATACTCTTTTCTTTATCCGGTTACGGTTGGTTGGTAGTGATCTGTGGACTGATCAAAGTCCACAGAGACTTAAGTCTTCTCTGTTTAACCCACAAAGTTACAGAAAAGGCATAAAAGGCATAAAGAAATGACTCAGAAAACAATTCTTGGAAGTGAAATATCAGCTGTGTTTATGACCCATGACGTAAAATGTCTTTCCTGTTCTAGCTTGTTACCATCGCCTTGGATAAATCTCATTAGAAATTTTAGCTATTGGTAATCGCTTTCGGTGGTTAGCCTGAAATATCTAACATACATACAGATATCAGAATAGGGTAAACTCTTATCTAGGCTGCTAGCTAAATACACACACACACACACACACACCCCTTAAATTAAGATTTTAAGTTCATGGAAGTGTCTTGAAATGAGCAGTTGCTCCATTTTGAAATCCCCTGATCTAGCCTTACCCTGGGAAGTGACTCAGTTCTGGCCACACATTGGAATCACTTGAGGAGACTTTTAAAATTACTGGCACTTGCCCTGGCTGGTGTGGCTCAGTGGGTTAAATGCCAGCCTGCAAACCAAAGAGTCACTGGTTTGATTCCCATTGAGGGCACATGCCTGGGTTGTGGGCCAGATCCCCAGTGGGGGGCGCATGAGAGGCAACCACACACATATTTCTCTTCCTGTCTTTCTCTTCCCGTCTAAAATTAAATAAAATATTTTTTAAAAAATTACTGACACCTGCATCCTGGGTGGTGGGATTATGGAGAATTTTCACTTTCTTTCTCTAATTTTTCTACAAATAATATTGTTGGATTTTAAATTACAAATAATTTAAAAGCAATAGGTATTTAAAATTATCTTACAGCTATAGAAATGTGATAAGAGCTGTGGTTAAAAAGTGTCAAATACATTTTCTACAGAAACCTCTTGATATTAGTCCGAATACAGAAAGTTCCCTTAAGATTGTCAACAAGTTCTTGGAAACTGTGACTTCAAATGAAATGACACATATAACAAAACCAATTTTACCCTAGGCTAATAGTTTCCTGAGGCATATTTCAGGTCACAAAAACATCACCGAACTTCTAAGTAACAACTCAAAACACTTCTAATAGTAATCATTTAAAGAAATGAGTTATACATACATTTAAGAAAGATTACTAAAAACAAGTAAGATAGTCTTCTTACGATTTATTCCAGTTCAGGGTCACAGGTTGCCGGGGCCTCTGCCGGCAGCTGAGGGCGCCAGGTGGGCACCCACCCCGGGCGGGACACACCTCCTTCCCGAGGACGCTCACACCCACTCACTCAGACGGGGACAGTGCAGACACGCCAGCGCACCTCATGTGCACAGCTCTCACTGGGGCAGAAACCGGAGGCCCTGGAGAAAACCCATGCAGCCGGTAGCCCTGGCAAGGAATCCATTTTTTTCTCATAACGTCATAACTAAACGACGTTGAAAGAAATGACGAACAAAATGACGTAAACTGATGTTATTCAAGAACCTGGCAGTACTCCAAAATTCGACTTGTTCCCTTCTTACAGTTAACACTGAATTACACATTTTTTTTTCCTCCTCTGGTTTATTTCTAGCAAGTTGTCCTGGTTGTTTTCTCTTCAGTAAGTTCTCTATTAAATTCCCTCCTTCTAAGATATTGTATTCCCTCAAACAATCCTCTCCTTTAACATGAAGAGTAGCACAAAGCTATGACTTGGGTCACCTTTGAGAAAGAAAAAGCTGCCAGACATATTGAATGAAATGCTGGGTGCCTCGGAAAATAAAATTGTCCTTGCACTCTGGTCAACTCTGCTCTTAATTAAATGGTTCTCTAGAATGGTAAAGCGTATTATGTGTATATCATACTGAAATCTGTATTAAAAGCTACAAAACATGCCCTGGGCAGTGTGACTCAGTTGATTGGAGCCTCATCCCTCCCATAAACTGAAAAGTGGTGGGTTCAACTCCCAGTCAGGGCACATGCCGGAGTTGTGGGTTCGGTCCCAGGTCAGGGCACGCACAAGAGGCAATAGATGGATGTTTCTCTCACATTGATGTATCTCTCCCTCTCTCTCCTACTTCCTCTCTCTCTAAAATCAATAAGCATGTCCTCAGGTGAGGATTAAAAAAGAAGTTACAAAACAGTCAGGAGGCCTCTAGAAGCTGAAAAAGCAAGAAAATGAATTTTATCCATAAAGCCTCCAGAAGTGATGCGGCCCTGCCGACTGAAATGAAAGCATTTCACGTGCACTTGATGATCTCCAGCATCCTTCTAAAAACGCAACTTACCTCTGAATTGAGTCCATCTATGTGTTCGCATCTCAAAAAAACAAACTGACCTGATACACAAATGCAGCCTAAGTTGAACATCACACACAAATGTTTGAAATACTAATTTTATTAGGAAAACATCTGATAATTGTATTAAATCGCATAATCAATCACTTAATTTTAAAATGATGTGACCTGAGTATATCAATTAAAATATGGATTCTTTTAACAAGTATTTGAGCACCTGCAAGTGCCAAGCTTTGGAGGTCCAGGCTAAACAGGAGTCTCCTCGTTCTCACAGAGCTTACGTTCTAGCAGGAGGGCAAGGTTAGAGAAATGTTTCTAGTTTTAATAAACATGTAAGACAGCAATGGTAGAGCGCATGGCACTTTACAGGAGCGCACTCTAAGGGACTAACCCCATCCAGAGAGGTCAGGGAGACCAAAAGATACATTTAAAAAGAGCAGAACAGTTCAGGCAGAGGAAAAATTGTAGATCCTGAGGTGGGAAGGACTTCGTCAGTTCAAGGAGCCAGAAGTCTAGAATGGCCGAAGCACCAAGGGTGAGGAGCCAGGAGATGAGATTGAAGGGGCGATGCTCACGGGTGGCATCGGGGGTCTGGCAGTTCTACAGGGAACCAGTGAAAGATCCCAGTAAAGGCGTAGCATGACCAGACGTGCATTTAGAATGGCCATCCTAATTCCAGAGTGATGATTAGACCCGGGAAGACTGGATGCAGGGAGACCACTTCTAATGTCTGTGGTCGTGAAAGACAAAAATAACTGGGGGAATTCAAGGGAGAGTTAAGAGACAAAAATCAATAGAACTTGTTGACTGAAACCGCAGTTCCTGTAAGACAATCGGTGCAGACATACAGTATATCTGTCAGATGTGCAGGGTCTGAAGGTCCGCGGAGGACTGTGTTAGGAACAGCCAACGCAGGCACCATCCACATTTAGATGGTAACTGACGCCTGAAGAAGGTATGAAATGGCCCTGGAAGGTTAAATTAAGCCATGAAAAACACACATTTAAGAATAAGATGTGCCGGTAGCTGGGAGGAAGAGAAATGGGGAGTAGCGTTGGACAACTGGGCTTCAGTTTCAGAGGATAAAAAGTTCTGAGGGTGGATGGCGGTGATGGCTGCACAACAATGTGAATGCACTTAATGCTGTCGAGCTGCACACTTAAAAGCGGTTAAAATCTTAAAAGTTTCATTAGATGTATCTACCACAGTTTTAAAAAAGAATGAGGAGATACTTTTGTGTCACTTGTATCTTTGAGAGTAAGACCGCATCATGTATTAGGAACAAAAAATGAGGACAAATGGTGAAGAGGGTAGGACTCAGCAGAGAGAGAAGGGCCTGCAAAGGAAATTGAACAGAATGGCCGAAGAGGTTGGAAGGAAACCTGGAGTATTACCATACGGAAGCTAAGAACAGCGTTTCTAGGAGGAAGTGTTCAAGGGATTTGAATGTTACAGAGAATTAAACAAGATAAAGTCGGAAAAGAAGCCGGTGGTTTCAGCAACAGGGGTGGGGGTCAATGGTGACCCTGGGGAGAGGTGTTGGCAGAGGAGGGCAGCGAGGGCAGCGAGGGCGAGGGTGAGGAGAGGGTGGGTGGGAAACAGAGCCCCGAGAGCAGACAGCGAGAAGTGTATTATGGGAAGGAATGGGACAATGGCTGGAGGAAAAGTAATAGATATTTTTTAAAAAATAAGTGTGTTACAATAGCATGCATAATCAACAAGGCATCATTTCAGTGGAAATATAACTTCATGTAATAGCCTCGATAATACCTGGAATCTATAGTTTACGGAACTCTTCATACTACTGGTGGGTTAGAAAGGATAACTCTAAGTTATTCCCTTCATTTTAAGAGTGGTAAAGCTGAATCATAGAAAAATCTCAGAAAATTTACAAGGGCTTGAGGTTCATGAAATAAATGTCTTCACTGATTTTTTTAAGGTAGAAAAATACAATGCACTGTGCTAAGAGAACAATTTTACTGTAACAAATATTGAAAAAAGTCTCAAATTTTAATGTTACTAATGTATTAATTTTTGGTACATGTCCAGTGGAAGACGCTCTATGTTCCAGTTACATCCTAAAGACACCAAAGTCAGTCTTCTGGATTGGTGCGTTGAGGGCTGCACTGATACTGAGACCCAGGACCAGTCTGGTGTCTGCTGGATCAATAATCCCATCATCCCACAGCCTGAGAAAAAAACAAAATATGAGTTAATAGGAATCTACCACCAAACTACCATTGATACACTCCCTGCCCAGAAATGCTGAGGTTTTTTTCTTCAGGGGAAATATGGATCTATTGATTAGCTTCTGTGTACTATACTAAAACTGAAACCATGTTCAAGCAAGAGGACAAAGGAAGAAAGAAAAAAGGAAATTACTTTGATCCCAGGCTCCCACAGAACATCAAATCAAGCTTATGGCCTTAGGAACAGCTTGTTACAAGAAATCACCAAATAATCCCTGGTTTCAAAATAGTTTTACTTATTTCGGGAAAAACTTTCTTGTCCGTCCTTTGCCCACACAAATGTACAAATAAAGTTGATGTATTCCTGTCATTAATATGAAGGGCCATATGAACCTAGGTCTCTAGTCGCAAAGTAGAAAAGTCTCTAGTAGAAAAATGTGTCCCTCACAACTCCCTCATCACTTAAGAAACTATGAAAACTACTGAATCGACTTCAATACATTTTATTAATAAAATACCTTCATATATAGTTATTTTTGCTACAACAGAAAAAAAACAATAGCTTTAAACTGCTTTAAGAAGAAACTTTTAAGTAGAAATTTTAGTTTGCTTTTCGTTGACAACCTCAAATTTATAAAGAAAAAGGAATGAGAAATACTGCTTTTTTAAAGGTCTTCGGTACGTGGCACTTTTGCTTTCTTTAAACAAACTGCCTTCAGTAACTGGACACAGCATTAATTATTAAACCATGCTTATACTGACAGACATGAATCAAATCTATGCTCATAAAACATTCATAATAGGGACCCTGCAGTATCAACTGCCAATAAATAAAAACCACTCATGTAATTTGTAACCAGGTCAATTGATTACACTCCCTTCTGAAGCCAAGAGGGGAATAAAACAACAGGTGTGCCGGTCGGGGGCCGGGGGGGCGGGGGGGCGGAGGCTGCCTCACAGCGGTCACCAGGAAGACGGCTGGGAGGCCTCAGTCCAGGGCCAGGGAAGTTCAACTGCAAGAACAGCTGAGCAGAATAAAACTGATGTGCTGCCTATGTAAGGATTAAGGAAAACATACGAGGTTATGGTAGAAAATGATGACAGCTCTCTCTGAAAAGATGGGTCAAGCACATGAAAGTCTAAAGAGACCACAGAATTTTACTGCTAAGATATCTATTAAATCCCAAAAAGGTGCCATACACTGGCTTGAAAATTCTTTCATCTTGGGGAAAAAGTTGCTGTCTCATGCCACCAAGCATTTCAACAGAAGGGTTAAGCATCTACAAAGTAAGAGAAAAACTTCACTGTCTTTCAGTATTTATTTCCAAAGATAAGTCTATGTGGGCATTTTGCTCTCCTGCCTTGAATATAATCCATTAAAAATAATAATAATTTATATATGAAAATAATAAAGGATTGAGTCTTCCTCGAAAGACGGCTAAGCCAGGGCTGAAAAACAAATTAATGTCTCACACAAAATATGCTATTTTTCAAAGTTTATTATTTCAGTTGTCCTTGTGAATTTCAAAATCTTATGTTAAAAACAATTTAAGTGTGCTTACAATACATATTTTCTCTTAAACTTTTAATATGGTTTTGTATGTCCTCTTTGCTTCTACTGGCTACTATTAAAAAAAGAGCATGTTTATTTCTCAAATCAAAGACTATTTGTTCTTAATTCAATAAATCAATGACCCACTGCAACAAAATATACCTGGTAAAATTACTTATTAAAATAGATATTAACAAGAGAAACAGGCTTTTAAAAAAAAAATCCCAAATGGCATTATTCGGATTCTGAAACCAACTGTGCTCTGCAAAGGCTGTTCAGTCTTCGCACCCCCCACACTACGAGCGGTGCCTGCCTCACAAGATGCGTTCCCATGACTGAAATGAATCCTGACTTTTGATTTTATTCTCTCCTTCCTCTCCAGTAAATGGCACAATCACTGCATAATCTAATTTTAAAAAACACAAATATTTTCTTTTTTCCCATATGCCCAAGGGATGAAATGAAGCCATGAAACTTATTCTTCAGAATGTGAAACACGAAAGTTGTTGATAAAAAGAGGTCTGAGAGCACATGCCAGCAAGTCTCCAGCTGGGACAGGCCATGATAATTTATTACCTTATTAAGTGGTATAAGAAACAAACAGAACCGAGAGCTCCCTAGGTGTATGAGGTAATCACTTAGTGTTGACACATGGACCCTGGCTGTGACTAATCACCTTCTGAACGCACGAGTGCACTTGTTAACAAATGTCAAAAAGGGTTCAACCAATCTCGTGCTTACAATGGGGTAAAAACAAAATAATCAAGGAGGGGGGATGACCGGAATTCACCAGTTTAAGCCAAAATTAGCATTCCTGAACATTCTACAGCCTGGATTACAGCCCCTAACTTCCCTGCCCCCACGTGGTCCACCTGCGGCCGCAGGGTCCGGCCCGGCCCCAGGCACCTTGGGGAGAAATGAGATAGAAGATGGGGGTGGAGGGTGGCAGAATCAGACCGAGGGCGATGGATCCGCACCCCGGCCTGGGAGAAGGGGCTGCGTTTCAGCAGCAGCCATTCCCTTCACAGAGACAATAGTAAAGGTTTAGTGTGTCCGAATGTTATTTTTTTGTCCTCACAGAGGCTGGACCTTCTTGACCGCCCAGGTCTCTGTAAAGCTGCTGCCCTGACTGCCAACATGCTCCCAGCAAGAAGTTACTTATTCTCTGGCTCCCACCTGGCACTGGAATAGTAAGGGTTTCCTTCCTCTTCAAACCTCTTAATGATGGGCTCTTTTAAAGCTGCTTCTTCAGCACTGGAGAACTGAAAGAAAAGGGACCAGGAATAAGTTCACTGCAGCCGAACAACAGCTGCACCCAAGAGCACCTCAAGACAAACAGGGTAACATGTCATGACTAATGCTACAGCCAACATCTGTACAGTGAGGGATAGATTACAAGTGATTGTTTCATGTACATAATCTCACCTGAGACATGACTATCAAATTGGCGTGCCATTATACTTCCCTTATCAGAGACAACACCCTGGGCTATTGAATGTAAGGTCAAAACCAAGGGTACCACGTATTCCAGTGCCGCACAACAATGCATGGGAATTGTACAAAATGACAAAAGGGCCACATTACATTTTCTTTCAAAATAGTCAAAATTTTAAACATTTTGAAACTTAAAGGGATAAATTATCAACCACACCTTGAATAACCTCTTCAACTTCCCAGATGGCTGAAAGATATTTTTCCCTAATTAAAAATCTAATGGCTTGCCCATCAGTATTGCCAGAAACAAGTGATAATTAATTCAGATGTAAAAACCTTTATGCAAATTAATTTTAAAACCCTGAAAAGTATTTTCAGTTAAAAAAATATTCCACACCAAAAATAAATGATTTATTTCAAATAAATCCAACCTTCTTTCATGTGTTTTCATAGTTATCATTTATAGTTAAGAATTTAGAGGGAGAACCACTAAAATCTTGTACTTTCATATATAAAAACAGATGAATTCATGTATCTGTGTATCAAATACTCAAAGAACAGCTATTTAATAAGAGATCACTATGCTGGGCTAGAGTTTAAGACATGTCTTCAAGAAGGGGAAGGGTCAAATCAAGGAACATGTATAAAGGACCCATCGCCAAAGCCAAAGTGGGGAAGGATTGAGGGTGGGAGGTGGGGCGGGTGGGGCAGGGGGAAAGTGGTGGCGGGAAAATGGAGACAAATATATTTGAACAGTAAAAAAATAAATAAAAATTTTTTTAAAAAGACATGTCTTCTAAATATCAGGTAGAATTTCATATCTCCCCCCACCATCCCCCCCCCCCGCCCATTACCCTGCTACACACACACACAAATACACACATAAAGCTCTCCTTTTGCTCGGACACAGGTCAATACTGAAGTGAATGTGAAACCTCAGTTTTGGTCTTCAGAGTCCCTGCTCCTAAGAAAAGACAACTAGGGGTGTGAGGCATGGGTGGGATGCAATCAGGGAGGCAGGAACCACCTCTAGCTTTTTATTAGCCCACTCCACAAACTGGGTGGTTGACCAGCTGCTCCCTAAATGGCAGTACTGAGGGCCTGAAGAGACAGGGCCTCCTTCATCTTATGCCTTGTTATGAAAACAGTGCATCTAGCAATTTCAGGAACACGTACTGATTTTAAGGCTTGGTGGTTACACAAAACAGTTAAAAACTATAACTAGTAAAAATTAGTGCAAAATTTCAGAAGACTCTCTAACAGGTACAAACAAAGGAATGCACTTTAAAAGCAGCCGCTTGCTGATTTACCTTCCATTCAGCTGGTAGTGCCCTTTGCATTTTACTTCCTTTATACTTTCACAGTGTAATAATGTTAATCAATTCTCATTAGATGACTGAGCCCTCCCACTCAAGCTATGCTTAACAACCACCTTAACAGTGAAGTAGAGGGAAAAAATGCTGCTGCTTTAGGTCATAAAATCAAAGAAGTAAATCAAATTTATTTAAAGCTCATTAACTGCGAATGACTAAGAATCAAATATCTTTATGCCTCAGTCACTCACAGGCAGTTTCTTGTTTTCTCAAAATTCTGAAAAAATCTGTACTTTACCACAAGAAGGTACCTCACAGGAAATGGCATTAAAAAAAGAGACAGAAAATGTGTAAGTCTGAATTCCTGAAGCAACTTCGTCCGAGGCAGCATCTTCTAAAAAGCCAGGCCCTACATGTTGGACCCCTGACCCATGAGAGTGAAGCGATTCTGGCTGCACTGCTCCCGGGCTTCAGGGTGTCCGCTGGTGAAAACCAAACCTGGAGACGAGAAGAAATGGCATTTACCTGTTTCCCTTCCCGCGCTCTCTGGTCTTTGGCTATGGTCGCCAACACACTGGCTGCCTGCTCTCCTCCCATCACCGAGATACGAGCATTGGGCCACATGTAAAGAAATCTTGGGCTATGCGGGGGTGGAATATGAATGATCAAATTAAGTTGCATGACAACACAGGTATTTTCAGAGGCCCACATTTATCTTTTAAACTAGTGGTTCTTCATTCCAGCTGCCCATTAAAAGCATCTGGGAATTTTTTAAAAATACCAATGCCTGGAACCCACCCTAGACTAATCTCCAGAAGTGGAGCCTAAAGATAGTACAAAATTTTAAATTCTCTAGGCAATTCTGATGTCTGTTTTGATAAACTGTATTTTTCCATTTCATGTATGTTTATTGGCTGTAAAAGTATTCAAAATATCCTCTTATTATCTGTGGTCATGTCCTGTTCTCCAGCCCAGAGCTTTCCCTTTTAGTTTTACCAGGGGACTATTACGTCTGTTAACCTTTCAAACAGAGCAGCTTGAGGCTCTCCTGAGTCTTCTGTCTTGCAGTGTTTGTCCTTTATCATGTTCTGTTTTCTGTTTTTCTTGTGTCCACAGTGCTTCTCTTTTTTTGAATTTCTTGAGCTAGCTGCTTGGCTCATTGATTTTCAGCCTTACTTCTTTTCCATGATATATATTTATGTCTACACACCTTTCTCAAAGCAAGACTTGAGCCACATCGCACCAGTTATGATATGTAGTATTTTCATTATCAGCCATTTCAAAATATTTCCTTATTCCCATTGTGGGTTCCTTCCCAACAGTACCTTTAGCATTAAATTTCATTTCGTCTCTCCAGATGATACAAATTACGGTATTATTGCTCAAGATTTATGAATATCATTCTATATTTCAAAGAAACCTGACCATTTATAATTATACGTGAAGTATAATTTCTTTCAGAGAAAATGATGACAATCACCTACCTATATGCTCTGCCACACATCCCATAGTTTCCAGCCCCATAGGATCCCCCAATGATGACAGTTATCTTAGGCACATTGGCACAGGCTACGGCAGTCACCATCTTGGCACCATCCTTGGCAATTCCTTCAGCTTCATAGTCTCTACCAACCATAAACCCTAAAAGAGAAGAATAGGAAGAGAGCCTCTGAGTAACGCAATTACTGTATAGCAGCTGACCCCCCAAGGCACTGGAAGGACATCTCGTCAGATTGTATTTTACTACAGGCCTCTCTCCCTAACGAAGAACTTAGACCTGAAATATGCCCCCCAAAAAGTGTGCTTTAAAAGATAAAATAACATTTTCTCTAGTCGCTTTGAAAATTTCCTTGAAACGGTTCATTTGGGTGCACACAGATCTTCAAATAAAGTAAGGATGCAATTGAGCTTCAAGAAATTATCTCAAAGCAGTAGCCTGGTGATGAAAGACTGCGACGTGGCAGCTGAGGAAAGAGCGCTGTGGCACGCCGAACGGTGAGGGCCTCGGTTCTCACTCACCTGGTTTAAAAATTCGGGATTCCTTCTGAAGTAATGCTTAGACTTTGATGAAGTAAAGAGACGCTAAGAGTTCCTGTCAATCGCAAGGTAAAAAAACTTTTCATCCTTCTTCAAGCTCTCCCATCTCTGTTGAAACGGGTCTGCAGGGCCCGGGGCCTTCCAGGCCTTGGGCTCCTTCTTCTTCACCTAATACACACGAAGCCAGGCTTCCCGGGTCTCCCTCACCACCCGCAGCCTCACAAGCTACTTGATTGTCACTGTTCTTTGTTATGCAAACCTCCAGCATCGTATCCCCCAATCGCTCCCACCAGGTTTCGCGGAGCGAAACTGTACTACATGACACAGAGCCAGTGACAGGCCACCCCTCACCTCACCTCACCAGGTACCGCCGGCTTCCTCCAGCTGCCCGCTCTGAGCCAGGCCCTCCGTGCAGCTCGGAATCCCTTTATCTGCCTTCTCTGACTCCCTGCGCTGTTCCCACAACAGCTATCTCAAGTATCGATTCTCTTCCCGTGCTCACCACCCCCGCTCACCACCCCACTGTCCCTCCGGTCCCTTGGCTTTCTCCCATCCTTCTCCTTCCCACCTTAAAAAACAACATAATCATACTCTATTTCCTCCATTACCCTCACCTCTTGGAAGAAACCACAGTTACTCGCAGGCTGCCCGAGTCCCCTTCTCTCTTCATGGTATTCTTACCTATTCCCATAGCTTGAAATACCATTTCCATTTTCTGATGATACCTACATTTTCACCTCCAGCTAACACACCTCTTCTGTGCTCAAGATTTTTCAACTGCCTACTATGTATCTCCAAATGGCGGCAACACAGGTCCTTCGAAGGCAATGCTGCAGAGCCAAGCTCAACCTCGGCTCTCTGCCCCCAACATAGGCAAAAAACAAACAAAAAAAAAAACCCACGAAAATGTAGGAATCTTTCAAGAGCACAGTTTAACTTATCAGTAGTTAATGAGTCACGAATCATCATTAGAAACAAGGCCACTGCACTAGTGAAGCTTCAGAGTATTTTTTATCTGCCCTTTTTATGCAGTTTGCCACATCGGGTCCTCCCAGGCTTCCCTCTGGATGTAACTCCTCTCAAAAGTCATCTAAACTGGTATCTTAAAGATGAAGATGAGTGTTAGCACCAGTAATATCTAAAGCCCCGCTGATTGTCAAGAGCCAAACTCCCTCGTGTGATTTGCCTGAACTCAACAAGTAATTAAGAGTCTCTCCTTTCTTAAACAGGAGATAACCATGGACAGGATTAAAAACGAAGTTTTTGGCTAACCTACGTACCTCAGCGTCTCCTATATGTCACAGACCATGGAATATAAAAAAGCATAAATAGAAGAATCATGGAATTTTAAGAAAAAGAACTCTAGAACCATAAGAGAAATTAAAAATTATTTTATCCACCATGTTAAGATCATTTATGGAACATGAAACCCGGAGAATTGTCACAGATGATCCCAGTCTTTGGAGTCCAAACTCAAGCCCCAACGATGTGAGGTGCAGCACAGGGAAGAGAGTCAATAAAACTGCAATAACCATGCACAGCAACAGAGATGGTTACTAGGCTTACTGTGGCGATCACTTCTTAAGATATACTGCACAGCGCAACTCTAGAATAAAGGCAGCCCAGCTGAATACACTACTTTCTTACCAGTAATGTTTTGAAGGAATAGCAGAGGGATATTCCTTTGGCAGCATAACTGGATAAAGTGAGACCCCTGTAAGCAAAGAAGACAAAAACCTTTTCAAAGGGGGGTTAACAAATCTGTAGTCACCAGGCATTCTGCCAATGCCATGCTTGGGTCAAAGAAAAGAAAGACCACCCTCTGCTTGGCTTGTCTGACCTTAAAGTAAAAGAGTAACACTGTGGTGTGGAGCCGTGATCCAGGGGGCATGGGCCTGAGGTTTATACTGCACCTGTTGTGCAGTCAGCTGTGCGACCGAGGACCCATGGCTGTAGGATAGCTGCTTTGCCACGGATGAGGCCAACACTAACCAAACATCAAGTGAAACAAGTAACAGAGAAAAAAGGATGCTTGTCAATGAGATTTCTGAGCCTCGCTATAAGACAATTCTCTAGTTCTCCACTTTAAAAAAGATAAAATATAATCCCTTCAGGGAAATCCATGATGGTATTTACACTTTGATCATCATCAAAAATTCTTTCATGTGCCAAGATTATAATAAAATACATTTTTCTTACCAATTTACTCCAATTAAATGGGATTTTAGATGAGTGCTAGAGACCTTCTAACCTTGAGTTTAGGAAATTATTTAATGACACAAAAAAATGACTATTCCTTTCCATATCTTCTAAGGATTATGTGACTAAGGACACTCTTATAAACCATTTCCTTTATATTTTACTATCTATTCATAGATCCCTTTAACTCTGCTGAAGTGCCTTGGCAATTACAAAACCTCAAAGCAACTGCTGAACCTCAGACACAATAATGAGGAAATCACACACCTTTGGGGCTGACTTCTGTTAGGTAGGACAGACAGCAAAGCAAGGCAGGGAGGAGGAGGAGACATGTCTCGCCCACTGACTCAGCTGTCCTGGGCCCGGCCCAGTATCGTTGCCACGTGTTCCAACATCACAAGAAACGCCATGCTAACACAGGAGGAGGGGAGCGTTTGTAATTCTGTGTATCGTTTCCACTATCTGGGAAAGAAAGCCTTGAAACTGTGCTTTCATCCCAAGACCTGAAATGTGGAAGAGGGTGCACAGGGCCCAAAGGAAGAACCCATAAAACAACTTTGGTTAATTACCTACCTCTGGTCACTATCTGTTTTACAAGGGCGTCCCTAATGCTTACAGGAAGAGCCCATAAATAACTTTGGGTAACTGCCCCAACTTTAACTGCCTCTTGTCATGCATCTGTCTCACAAGATGAACAAATGGAGTCTGGTGCAAGGTGAGGATTCAGCCTAATGGACCCTCACACATACCTAAGTTTGGGTAGTGATATCCCCGCCAGGAAGCTGGCACCACCTTTACCCATCAATCAATATGCAACTTCTTCACCCCATCCCACCAACTGTGTGAGTTCTCAGAACAAAGGACTCTCTCTCTGGGCTCTCTGGCCGCCCGGCCCCTGGCCGCCCTTGCTTCCACCCCCCTTACCCTGCTTCGCCTAACCCTTTCACCGCCCCCCTCACCTTAGCCAGGCTGTTCTCTTCCGAATAAACCCCGCCTGCACGCTAGTAGATTTGCTGATCTGTAATTTTTCTGCTGTGTCGATGAGAAGAACTGAGTTTCTGGGAATTTCTCCTGTAACACTTCTACAAATAAAATGTCAGACTGAGGCCAAACATAGCTCCCCCGCTGCCTGTCTTTGCCAAGCCGCTAAATAAAACTACATAGAGTTTGTTGACCTCAGCCTGATAGTTCCTCTATTTAAATAAATGTATTATATATTCATTAAAACTCATTAATTCAGGGATATTTTATATTTTAGGAAACACTTACTACATATATTAAAAGAAAACAAGCAATGCCTCTATATACAGTAAGTCCTCACTTCATGTCATCATAGTTTCTGCAACTTTAAGTGAAATGACATATAACAAAACCAACTGTATCAGAGGCTAATGGATCCTATGGCATCTCATCAATGTTGTAATGAAATTACAGTTTTCAAGGACCTGCTGTATGTGGCAACACCAATTTTATTTTTTAAAAGGGGGAGGTATGTGGCTTGTTTTGAGCTAAGGGCAATTTTAGCTTCAGGATTAAGAGAAGCTCCTGCCACTCCCTTTAACTACTTAGAAGAACTTGAATTGGGGCCGTGCTTCAGCCGGATGGCAGAGCAAATACCCACTTACTAACCATCTGCTCCTGTTATCCTGCAATGACCCTTTGAAGCCTCCAAGGAGACCGCCTCATCCCTAGCTCAGAATGTTTTCTATACCCAGACCCCCCTTGCTATCTCTGCACTATTCCTGCATGTGGGGTCTTTGGTTCTTTCATGTACATGGGGTTTCCATCCACACATTAAATGCAGTTATTCTCTCTTGCTAAAAAAAGAGGGGACAGGAAATACTAAGGAACCACAATAAAATGTTACTCAAGATTATTTCTGGTACGAGTGTAGGTGATTTTTCTTTTCCTTAGTTTTACTTTCCTGTGTCTCTTATCATTGCAATGAGCGGAACAACAATGAACAGCAGAGTACAGAAGCTGACCTTTACTGCTAACACGTTCCACCCAAGGCAGATTCGTCCTCAGTTAGGGTCTGAAAGCACTTATCTGCCTGTTACCTACATTCATTAACCTTGTTATTTCCTTAATCATTTGACATGGAAAAACAAGGCTAGACATTTTTTTTTGCTAAAGAAAATACTTTATGAAATAAGTACAATAGTTACATTTATTCAAGTTTAGGTAAATCTGAGACAATGATGTATGAAAGTGAATACTAAGCCAAAAGACATTCATGAATTTGCTCTTTTAAAACCACAGGGGGGGAGGCAGAGACAAATGTAAAGAGTAAATAAATTTAAAAAATTAAAAAATAAAAAATAAAAAAAATAAAGAAAAACAAAACCACAGCTCCAGTAACAAGACCCATTACGTTTCCGTTCCCAAAGAGTAAAAATAGTATCAAGTTAAACTAATGATGGGATAGAACAGAATAAACAGATTATGTCTCAGAACCACCTAAAAGTATCCTTGAATTCCTCACATACATTACACTAGAGAAACACTTTCAAGACAAGTATTCCTATATTCTTAGAATATGTACACATCACCCACAGCAGCTATAATTCAAGTATCTTGTAAGAATTTCCCTAAAAAAATGTTTGAACTTTTAATATTGCTCAAGATAGCTCACAATGTTAATGTAAACCTCCACAAAAACCACTTCAAACACTAACACACAGACACATACATGCTCACGTGCACACACACAGCGCTCTTTTTGCGGAGGCATCTGGTTAAATATTTTAAGTTTTTATGCAATAAACTTTCATGCACTACTTGATCTTAAAAGTTTATTATGTTTAAAACAGAAAATTCTGAAACATGTTTAACAGTACTTGCCTTTTTTGCAGATTCAGAAAAGAGAACTCCATTATTTCCAATGATACCAACTGGATATCCAAATATTCTAGCAAATCCTCAAAAGAAAATTGAAATAAAGATTTATGTATTTCAGAGGGCTTTTAATTCAAAACAGACATATTCGACATTCTTTAATATCAAATCAAAGTGTAAAATATAGAGATTCTGTGTTGCAAAACAGTTAATGTCGCATTTTATTTCTAAGGTACTGGAATCTGGGTTTTTTGCTTTCTTGAAAGGGGTGTATCACATGTAAAGTTATCCACTTGTCTGACTGGCTGGTTTGGTTAGATTGTTGGGTTAGTGTGTTATCCATTCATTCATGTAACATATATCAGAGTGCTCACTGTGTACCAATACCTGGAGGATGTTCTGAAATAGAACAAATCAAAGACACAGCGTCCTTTGAAGGTCAACAGTCAAAGCTGTCGGCCAGTTTCAGGTGACCAGTTTACCCAAAAATGTCTGTGGTAATGATAGGCCTTTGAAATAAAGCAGATACACTCAGCAAAGGCAATTTTAAAAAAACAAAACAAAACAAAACAGGAACACTGACAAGGCTGGTGGTAACCAAGTTTATAGTAAGAAATCCAGGTAACCTTAGAAGAAAAATGAATCACTCACTCTTATTTTCTCTTTGCATTGTTTTCTCCCTTCCATAAGCTTCGTTTGTCTCTCACTACCACTTCTACTAGCGCTGTAAACTCCCACTCTACATGCGTACACACACACACAAGAAAATGGGGGGGGGCAGGGGAAGGACATTATTTTGTGAGGCAGACACCTTAGACTATTTTAGGAGGTTACTTATTTTGTGAACCTGAAGAACTTGACTAGAGACCTTCCCAAGAGTAATTTTCAACAAGCTTACCAATGACTACATATAGATATCAAATATTTGGAACCCAAGAGTCAACAAGCTGTGCAGGCCAGAGTGGGTCAAGGACAGCACGCTACCAAGTTCCCAGAGCCGGGCTCTGTCTTCCAGCTCAAGCTGCCCAGGCTGCCGTTAAGACCTCCAGTATGTGATGCCGGGCACAAAGCACGTGTTCAAAACATTAATGGAGAAGAGAGAGTGTAAACCTATTGATAAACAGAACACTGGATTTTTAAAAATTTATTTTCTTTACTCTGACCTTGCCTTGATCTAATTATATTTATTTAATGAGATAAAAATGAAACACGATTTGGGCATCACTTGGATTTCCCTGGGTCTTTCAGGCCTCAAATCCCAGCCCAAACGCTGCACACCCTCCGGTGCCCTGCCTCTGAGAGAGTCAATGCAGGGAGCGGTGAGCTCCCTGAAAGGCCTTGTGATCCACTTTGAGTCCTGCCCCACCCACACGAAGAGCTGGGAACCTCGGCAGTCTCTCAGCCGTAAGGGGCTACCCCTGAAGATATACTGCCCTCTTTGTTATTTAGACTTTCAACACACCCTTAGCCCTGACTGGGATCTCCAGGCACCGGGCCTGCTGAGTAGGGCACAAGCCCCACTATAATAGGGACACCCATGAAGGGAGGCTCTTCACCACCTTCCCATGGGCCAAACAAGAAAGCAAAATATCCAAGAAACTACTAGGGGTGACATAGGGCAAGTGCAGAGGCAGGAGGAAGCCCTGACGAGCTGCCAGGGACACATGATACTTAGGAAACTCATTTTTCTCTCCTTACTGCCTCCCCCACTATGGTCCCCAACCTCTTAATCTCCTTCTCACCCTCCCTTCCTCCCCGACACCCTCTAATTCCTCCCTTCTCCTTCTCCTTCTCATTCCCCTCCCTTTCCCCAACCTTATTTGGATCCCAGTGCAGCCAAGAAGAGACAGAGGAAGCGGGATATATCCCTAGCATTGGGGGGGCCAAGGTGCCACCAGTCTTGTAGCAAGTGCAGGGCAAATACACAAAATCAGAAAATGAGGACAGCCCATCCGTCTTTGAGAAAGCAGCAGAAACAGCTTTGACTTGTTTTAAAAAGCTGCACAATGAGGGTTACATCCTGAACTGTGCAGTGACAAATCCTGCCTATATATCAAACGAAAGCTCTTAATCACTTAAACACCTAAATACAAAAACATAAATTCCACTCCCAGTGTGAACCCTTGTCTTGCTCATAAATCAGACTAGGAGAAAGTGCAGTGACTTATCCTTTAGCCTCAATGTATATTTGCAGTTTGGATTTTTGCAGCTAGTTGTTTTTTCTACTCTGAAATGTTGTCTTCAGGCTGCTACATTTTCAAGCTTTTATAAAACCAAATAAAATGCCCACATTTGTTTTGCCATTTGTCCAAGATACATTATTATGGGTCTAGCATCTAGGTCTCAAATATTTTTTCCAAAGGCCTACACACTTAACACCTCAGATGAATGAATTAACTTTTATAAATATTCTTGTTTTGCTTTTTCAGATTTGGTGTTCTATCCTGTATTCTCATTCTCATATTTACATAAATCAACATAAGGCCTACACAGAAGCCCTGAGGAAAGTCCAAACATCATACAAAATTTCCCAGCTGAATTAGACACTAAATAATAAAAAAGACAGCAGTGAAATTTTCAAAAGCAATTATTGTTATCCAGAGAAACAAAAAGAACTACAAACATTCCTGGTATTGGGTTAGCCAAAAAGTTTGGTTTTTTTTCCATTAGATGGCTCTAGTAGTGCATAACTGTCTTTAACTTCATTCAAAACAATTTTGTTGGACTGTATTGTGACAGCTGTCATATCAGCATGTATTTTTTAAATTATCAAAATTGGTGAATTTATATATAGCCACTTTAATATTGAAGATGGAAGAAAATATGCAACATTTTCAGCATATTGTACTTTATTATTTCAAAAAAGGCAAAAACACAAATGAAATGCAAAAAAAAAGATTTGTGCAGTGTATGGAGAAGGTGCTATGACTGATCGAATGTATCAAAAATGGTTTGCAAAGTTTCATGCTGGAGATTTCTCACTGGATGATGCCCCATGGTTGTTTAGACCAGTTGAAGTTGACAGCAATCAAATCGAGACATTAATTGAGAACAATCGACGTTATGTGGGAGAGAGGCAACATACTCAAAATATCCAAATCAATAAAGTTACTGGTGAAAATGAAAAATGTGTCCTTTATTTTATGGGAAAAAAAAAATAACCTGTCTTTCTGGACAACCCAATACTTGTACTATGATGAAAAGATTTTTATGCAGCTAATGCCACTAATGTCACAGGTAGGGGTCTTTACCACAACATCTAGATGCTGTCAATTTAAACTCTGGATCCACGGAGCCTCTTGGCTACAAATGATCTTTACAAAAGAGCTCCCTCTGAACACTGACTCACATTCGTGCTGCTCTAAATAACAAAGCTCATGCCAAGGGTATCAAAGCCTTGAGATAAGATATCACCTATTTCCCAAGCATCAGAAAATGTTCACATTCAATTCTTCATTTTTATACCTGTAACTAATGTGTCTCCATATAAGGCTTTGAACTCATTGAATCTGCTTCCATCCACAATTCTAGCGATGACCTAAGAGGAAAAATAACAATGTCCTTGAGAAATTACAATGAAAGAATTGTTGCATTAAAGTTATTTATAAGGAAAACAAATTCATAGTGAAGTTGTCACTTTCACAAAATTTCACCCTACACAGAACATCTTCTCACTAGAATTTCACCTGACACACATGAAGTCATTCTGGGCTCTGAGTTTACACTTCATTATAAAAGCAACAGCACCATGTTGCATACCGGAGAAGCGGACAGACTCCATGAGCCGTTTGCCAGACTCAAAGCTTCAGTGGCTAGTCAAACGTACTGGCCTAGCGTCAGGGATTCCATCAGGAAGCAGAGTGCAGAGCGTAGAATCAGAAGACTTAGGCTCCAACCTGAGGTGTCACATACGATTTGTGTGTCCTGCAGCAAGTCATTTAACCCTCCGAGTCTCAGTTCTCACTTCTGCAAAGACTGGACAAAGTTGTGAAGACATGATGACCTACCTAGTAGTAAAGTAACCTAATAAAATAATGCTAAGTTGAAGAACCAACTCTGACTCCCAGGTCTACCACTGAGAAATTAGAGTCATAGGCTGATTACCTAAAATCCTCTCAGCCTCGGTTTTCTCATCTGTTTTTTAAAAAACGGTAACGCTTAAAAAGTACTAACCACAGCATAGCCTACTTCCTGGCTGTCATTAAGAGGTAACTATTAAGACTTTGAAGGGGTTCAGAACAGGCCTCCCCAAGACATGCTATTTTGGTTTGCGGATTATTTTGAGCTGAAGGCAACTGAGACACTGAGGGTTCATGAGAAACTTTTACATCTCCCTTAAAGAATTGAAATTAGGGGCTATGCCCATACTAAGAGTTATCACCAACCTATGTAAAAGGCAGGGCAAAATTCTAGGTACTGAACATCTGCTCTTCTCTCTTTTTTTTTAAATCCTCACCTGAGGACATGCTTACTGATTTTAGAGAGAGGGAAAGAGGGGTGGGGGAGAGAGAGAGAAACATCAATCGGTTGCCTCTCCTACACATTCCAACTAGGAACCGAACCCACAACTTAGGCATATGCCTTGACCAGGAATTAAACCCATGACCATTCAGTTTGTGAGATGACACTCCAACTAAATGAGCCGCACCAGCCAAGGCAGCACATCTACCCTTCTTAACGTCCACAGCTGTCCTTCCTCCCTTCTGAAACTCCAAGGCACCTTCCCTCATTCTTAGTACAGAATGCCACATAAACCTCATTTTAACTTTCTGTCCCTGAACTTCTCATGTACACAGGGTCTTTGGCTCTCTCGTGTAGGTGGAGGTCCCATACGTACATATGTAATTATATTTGGCTGTTTTCTCTTATTAATCTAACCTGCCTTGTGTAGATTTAATTATTAGACCATCTGAAAGAACCCTGATGGGTAAAGAAAAGTTTCTTCCTCCCCTCCAACATCAATAAAGGTTCACTGATTCTGATATACTTGAAGGATCATAATGTGTATGTGTGTGCAATTAATCTAAAAGGAGTAGAAATTATGAAATAGTTCATCTTTGGGGCCCATCATTATACATGAGGACTATTTCAAAGAGTTCCAAACATGAAGCATATTCTTAATTTCTTCAGGAACTATTTTATCTGATATACATTATTTTTCTATCTAGTTTGAACTTTCTTTTTCCTATTTACTATATCAACCTAAACCTTCTTTTGCAAGATGCAAAAGCTGAGAAATGAGTGAATGCTTCCAATATCTTTCTTTCCAAAAAAGTAAAAGCTTACTTTGAATTATTTTTTAGTTATTTTCCTGAAAGGTCTGATTATGTAAGGGAGATATAATTTATCTGTTCTAGGTGGTATGTACCTCCAAAATTGTACCTTGTAAAAACAGTCAACAAAATAACTACCATTCTTCCGCACAACGACAAAGCTACTCAAAGGGCACAACAGTCTAGGGTGACTCAGTGGGAATCTACTTTCTACTGTATTTGCTTTACCATAAACACCACCCAGCCACATAAAATACAGTAACTCATTTTCACAAAGCCTCAAACTTTAGAAAGCAGACACATCATACAGAACTACTGTTCTTGTACCTAGAGGCAGAAATCAGTGCTCAGAGTATCAACCCCAGTACCACTGGCTAGGGAAACAAGGACTAGAGCCGAGGCTTCTGATTCCTATTCCTGTGCGGTCCCACAACTCCATACACTAGGAAGCCTTCCACACAAGGACACTTGGCTATTACAGAAAAAAATCACAATAATAAACTGAGTTAGCAAAAGGTAGACGTCCAGGACACTATTTAAGAAGTTAAGAGTCTATCCTTATAATCTCCATTAAAAATGAAATGGACTACCGTGAAAGAATGGATTTGCATCTGTTTGACTCATTTCTGTGTTCCTGGTGCCTGAAACAATACCTTCACAGAGCAATAAATACTGTTGAATACATGTAAAAAGCGGTTCTTAAAAATTCATTCTTAAAAGGATGAATTCTTAACCATCGTGAAAACTAGGTTCTCTGGAACAACTCATTTTTCAAGTACATAAGATTGTAAGTACCATTTTTTTCTGTGCCTGTAATCAACTTAAAAGTCAAACTGAAATTCTAATTCTAAAAGTTACAGTTAACTAAGTCACCTTGCTAAAGAGGAACTCCCTAAAAATCCAGGATTTAAGACCCTCTAACAATACTAGGGTACTTTCTAAATAACGATTATATGCATCCATAAATGGGATATTACATGCATCAATTCATTCAAAAAAATATTTACTAAGTGCCTACCATGTTGCCAGATACTATTATATTAGATACTAAGGAAATAGGACCTAGTCATGGAAAATGTTTCATGAAGAACCTTGAAATAATGGTGAAATGTTTATAATTTAAACTAAAAAAAGTAGAATTTAAAAAAATACATATGTATATACTATCTCAACCACATAAATATGTATACATACACATTAGCCAAAACACCAAACTAATAGCTGCTTTCCCTGGATGGTGGAATTATAGACAATTTTGTTTTTCTATATTTTCTACATTTTTCACAATTATTACAATAATAGGTTTATAGTCAAGGGCAAAAGCAACAAAATAAGAAGGCAGAAAACCTGGTATTATAATAATTTTCTAGCTTAAAAAGCATTCTGCCAGATAACAATACTGAAGAAAAGGCAACATGCATATGCAAACACTAAAACTGTTACTATAGACTACAAGACTAGGCTGACAATCTGTAACCATAGCAACATCTTCATCTATATTCAAAAGTCTAATCTTTGCTATGTCATATTGATCTAAAAGGATGTTTTTTATTTTGACAATTTACTGACATTTCATCCACTTCCTAAAATAAGGACAGTGAAAAGAAATAGATGAAAATTATAAAGTAGTCCTACATCATTCCTAATGTTCATATTAGGGAGTACTATTTATGAGCAAGCCAAGCTTTGCCATTGTGCAGTGAAAACTTTCCAGTAATTGAGGTTCCTCCCGACTTTTAGTATATATTGTGTACCAGTGAATCCTACACTATGGGAAGATCTTTCCCTTAAATGTCACTCCTTACCGAGATCCAAAACAGTTCCTAGGCACGAACATTCTAAACAGAGCCCAGCTTTGGCCACAGATACACATATAAAGAGACAGACAGCAAGGTGTACAGCTCACAGTTCCAGTTTACATACCTCTCGGACATCAAAATTCCTCTTAAGGTTAGTACCAACTATTCCATACAGTTCATCAGCAGGAAATAAAGGATCTTCAGAGGGCTCAACGGTCACCTACAGAAAATAGAAAAATCCTAATTAACCATTTTTTTAAATATTATTTAAAAACAACATAAGCCAAAATGCTTTTCAGGAAAATAAAAGATGTAAGAACACATCCAACTCACATCCAGTTTTTTCTGATAATTTAGATTCCTCACAATCTTCCTAGTTAAGTGAAGGGCATGACTATCATCCAAAGCGTAGTAGTCAGTGACTCCAGACTTCCTGCAGAGTAAAGCACACTAAAATAATCAGATTAGAGAAAAGGAAAATAACTCGGTATCTTAAAACCCAAATCTCTCATCTTAGGATAGCATCATTTTTACTTCTAAACCACTTTAATAAATGTCATTTAATTTGATCTTCAAACGTCCCTGCCAAACATGACAATGTCCCTGGTATTATCCGGGTATTACAAGCAGGAAAAACTGAGGTTCATGTAGGACCCTTGCACTAGAACCACCAGTAGCTGCATAGGAATCCACACTCTTATTTCTCTCTTAACCTCCTTCTACTAAACTATGGGGCCTTGCTGACAGGATTTCTATTTAATGGCCATCTCATGCACCTCCAAACAAAGTTTTACATAATAAAGTTCAACCAGATAGCACACTTTCATGGTGATGTTGGTAACTACAAAAAGTGTTTGTATGTAATTAACTGAGCTCCTAATGAAGATGCCAACTATGGTCTCTTGTTTCTGAAAGACTGCTGAGCCCCCTCCCTACAGAGTTACACCCAAGAGCAAGCTGTCATAGGGTAACAAACACAAAGGTTTGAAGACACTGTCCCTCAGATCATGGGTAAAAATGGGTATTGATAAATGATTCTGTGATTAGGGCCGTGGAGGTTCCTGTTTAATTTCAAGTTCAGTGTCAATGAAGTATGGACTTGCTCTGGTTACTAGTTTTTTTCCTGATTAGATGGCTTGTTATTTTAGATGTAATATACTATAACTTTCTAATAAAGTATAAACAAAACTGTGAAGTCAGGCAAAAACCTGAAAAAAGATAAAGTTTTTGTTCATTTTATGAGTAAGAACTAAGCTGCTGCAATCTAAATTTTGATGTCTAGGGAAAAGGCCAAATCCTTGGGGGACATTTCTTAGAACTGGACTCTCATAGTGGTTTTGTGTCACTCTCCACCTCCGGACTGGGTGCCCCTAAATAAGAGCAGAGACTGTATTAACTCCTTGTTATAGCCCTCCAATGCCTTGCAATGGCAGACCCTTCCTTTAGCAGTAATTTACAACTGACCATATCTCTTAAATGTTTCATATATGATACCAGCTACAATAGCTGCCTACACTATAGTAATCAGAAAGCAAACAGAAGCAGAAGGAACTGCTTCCAAATCAGTAAAATATTTAAAATGAAATGCTTTCCTGACCAGGTAGCTCAGGTGTTTAGAGTGTCATCCCAATATGCCAAGGCTATGGGTCTGATTCCCCGGACAGGGCATTCTCTCTCTCTCTCTCTCAAGTAAATACATTTTTAAAAAATTACATTAAAAATAAATAAAATGCTTTCTTTAAAAAACAAAACTACCCAGTAGTTACCAAAACAGCCAGAAGGTAAAACCTTTGATGAGGCATTATATTATGTAAGTCTTTGTGTCAAATTAATTCCTCAGGATGACTAATCAGAGAGGTATAAATATAGAGTGATAAAGAGGACCTTTACAAATACATATTTATACCACTTTGATTAGAGAGAACCCAAAGCAATTTGTGAATAGTAAATTTTATGACACTGTTTCCCCCCAAAAAGCCATCACCATCTAATCACTGTCTCATGATTTTAAACGATTATTATTAACAATAATAGCTGGTAGTAATAAGAGTACTTAGTATGCACCAAACACTGTGCTAAGCCAGGAACTATTCTTATCTTCATTTTTTACATGAAGAAATGAGGCTCAGGGATATTAAGTTGTTTAGTCATATGGCAATAAGTGAGGCAAATAAAAGATGAATTCCAGAACCTACATCCTAAACTGAAATACTGCCTACAGTTTTCATGGGCACCAGATTACTTCTTTTACAGTCAGAAAACATTTTTTAAATTGATGCTTCTCAAATACTATCTTCATCACCTCCCCCTGACGAAGCATCTGTGAACAGTGGCAGCCACTCTGTCCTATACCCACGCACCCTATTCTGCCTGCATCCGCTTTCTCTGCAGGGAAACATCCACTTGCTGTTTCCCTGTAACAGTCAGTAAATGGCCAGGTAAGATAGTCACACTGCATCTCTGCTCTCACAGCTATGCTCACCTAAATGAACAAGTACAGTATTCTGTTCAAGCTCAGGCAGAAACTCAGGCCCTCCCTCTAAGCTTTTCTCTGCCTTCCTCAACTTCACTCCAGGCATTCCTTCAACCATTCCTCCTTTGGCCTCTAGTTGTAAAACTGGAAGCATGATTGCATTTTTTTTAAAACCTCACCCAAAGGATATTTTCATTGATCTTAAAGAGAGAGAGGAAGGAAGAGGGAGAGAGACAGAGAGAGAAACAATTGGTCGCCTCCTGTATACATTCCAACCAGAGATCGAACCCCCAACCTTTGGTGTATGATACTCCAATCAACTGAGCCACCCGGCCAGGGCAGCATGCTAGCATATTTTGTAACTGTTGTTTAATTCATTCATTTATTTCTCTTAGCTGCCTAAATTATAAATCCCAAGCTCAAGTACTAAGGCTAAAATTCTACTGTATTACTCATAACACTTGGTATTGAGTTGGCCAAAAACTTCATTTGTTTTTTTCCATAAATGGCTCTAGTAGCACTTAGTTGTCTTTAACTTCATTCAAAACAATTTTGTTAAATTGTGTTGTGACAGCTGTTGTGTCAGCATGCATTAAAAAAAAAAAACTTATCAGAAGTGGTTAATTTTTGTGTAGTCATTTTAATATTGAAGATGGGAGAAAATATGCAACATTTTTGGCATATTATGCTTTATTATTTCAAAAAAGGTAAAAATGCAACTGAAACACAAACAAAGATTTGTGCAATGTATGGAGAAAGTGCTGTAACTGATTGAACATGTCAAAAGTGGTTGCAAAATTTCATGCTGGAGGTTTCTCGCTGGATGATGTTCCAGGGTCGGGTAGACCAGTTGAAGTCGATAGTGAACAAACTGAGTCATCAACTGAAAACAATCAATGTTCTGTCATGCAGGAGATAGCCAACATACTCAAAATATCCAAATCAATAAAGTTATTGGTGAAAATGAAAAATGTGTCTTTTACTTTACAAAAAAGAAAAATAGGGACTTTTGGAGCAACCCAATACAATCAATCTATCCACAATTAGGGCTCAATGAGAAAGAAATGAATGAAACACTGAGGCAAAGGTAAGCCCCTCAATCAACTCCTCAAAAGGCATGGCAGTGTTCTTCGATAGGAAAGGAGAAATATTATACTTATCTGCCTCCCTTGGTTTGTTTGTGGTTTGGCGGATCAAAGAGAGGTTCACTGCACCTGCCAGGCCACTGAGCCTGATGATTACAGACTTGCCATTTATGTCCGGGTTCTATGATCCTGGGCCCTCCTCTTTGTCTATATTCACCCAGAGGTGAGCTCATCTCGTCCCTTGGTTTTAAATTTCACAAATAAAGATCTCCAGCACTGATCTGGACTTCTTACTCTTACAGGTAACTGCCTCTTCAGCATCTCTACTTGGGTGTCTCAAGCATCTCTAACTTACCAGGTCCAAAAGGAACGCCTGATCCCCCTGTCCCACCCTCAAACCGGTTCTTTCTCCTTCCTGTCCTCCCAATCTCAGGAAATAAAGCCAGTTCATGTTATTATCTTTGTCACCTCACCTTCCTGCACCCCTTGCATAAAATCATCAACAAGTCTCCCAATTCCACCTCTAAAACAGAGCTCAAATCTGTTTACTCCACCCTATCTTCACTACCACCATAGCCATCGAAGCCACCAGCATCTCTCACCAATGATATTGATACAACCACCCAACTGGTCCCCTACACAGACTCTTGCCAACCCTCCAAGCATTCTCCATTTAGCATCCAGATGGATTTTTTTTTAATGAAGTATTTGGTAATAGCACATTCTGCTTAGAGCTTTTCAATGGTTTCTTAATTACTCTTAAATAAAATAAAATAAAATAAAATAAAATAAAATAAAATAAAGAGGGGGAGAAAGAGCCCAAAACCTTTAATATACTATTTTGATGATAAACAACAATAACAACAATGGCAGTTAACATTTATAGTTACTTATTTAAAGGAGGTATTATTCCAAGCAATTTACATGTATTACCTCATTTAACCCTCATCAAATTCTAGCAGGTAGATGGTCTTCTTACCCCTGAACTCCAACCAGAAGTGGTTAGACCAGTAGCGTGATGAAGCCAGCTCATGTCTGACTCATAGAGCATCACTTCCTGATTCCACGCTCAGTGACGTCCTGTTGGTAGCTTAAAATTTGGTACGGTGGGATAATTTATACTACAGAAAGTGGCAGATGCCACAAAGCAGGGCTTTTTCCCTCCCCCAGAGAACCAGCCATTTTACACTTACCTGCTACCAAGAGTTTAGCTAAGCTACTCCTTGGTACTGCTGCCTCAGCAGGCATTCTGTTTGGCCGAGAGGCCTGCCGGGACCTTAAACTGACACTGGTGCAGACACAAGCCCTAAACAGCAGCTGCAGAGTCACAAGCAAATGCAAGTCCAGATATGACTTTCCCAACAGCCCTTGTGATTGGCAGTCTCCCCAACCTCCCACTGCTGTATACAACCTTAGATAAGACCCCGAAGAGGCTTACCAAAATTCTGCTCTTTTGGAATGAACTGACCAATCCAGCCCTAGCCCAGGAACCCCGAAGCACTCCAACCTAGATCCTATTAAAAACATGTGCCCCACCTTCTCTCTCTCTCTTTCTCCGTCTGCACTCTGCCTTGACCTCCCTGTGTGACCCTGGAGGCATGCCATGTACTTCCTCCAGGACCCGTGAGCAGTACGCTTCTCTATTTCCATTTTTCTTGCAGTGGGTTGTTGAACTGCAGCTCACCATCCAGAACCCTGCGCTCCAGTTCACAAGTGTTCCTTTAACCCCTGGGTATGAGCCACCTTCTATATGCTCTCCCTATATGTCTTCTTTGTAGGCCTTACCACACATACATGTGTATATGAAATTTTGGTCATTGTTCATTTCCCACATCCCTGACTACACTGTAAACTCCTTGAGGTCAAAGACAATGTCCCTCTTATCTCAAACCCCTAGTACAGTGCCAGTCACCTAACAGGTGCTTAATGGATATTTGTTAAATAAGAAACCCATCTCTCCAGTCTTTCTATAATGAAAAAGCTGATGTTCTAGAAATGCAACTCTACAGTTCAAAGAACTGAACCCTAAAACAGCAGATTGAGAACACGTAAACTGTGGTAAGTTAAATACTTGGAAAAATACTTTAAAGACTATTAAACGAACAAGCAAACAACCAATCCTGAAAAAAAACGACGCTTCTATCTACCTGCAGTGAAGATCAGCACCGCCAAGATCCTCAGCTGACACCTCTTCTCCAGTTGCTGCTTTAACCTACAACAAAGAGAAAAGTCAACGGTGAGGTTTGCCCGTCCACCATACACAAATGTTTTCCTAAATGCACATCTCCTAAACTGCCTGTACCTACCATTCTTTCTTCCACAGACCTAAAGAACATTGTTTTCTCGTTCCACTCGCCTAGCAAGCCTAGATAATACTGTAGACCTAGTAGACCAAGTGAAAAACCTGAACCCCAAGTAACTAAGGAACTTGCCCACAGTCCCTGAGCAAGTGATGGAACTTGATTTGAACCTAGGCATTTCTGGCCTGAAAGCCTGCTCTGTGCCCCCGTTAAGCTGCTTCCACACACGTTCAAGTCTTTGTGTCTGAGGCCACCGCCGGGGCTCCCTTCTCCCTCTCACCCTCGTGGTGGTGAACCCCTGCTTATCCGTCAAGCCCCACCTGCTCTGTGTGGCTCTCCCTGACCCAGCCAGGCTTTTTCATCATTAATGACACTGCACAGAAAGAACAGAACAAAGCTTGCTTATCAGTGGTCTGAGAGTATTCCCCTTACACCTCCTATGTGGCACTTGCCAGGCTGACTTTCAGTAATATCCATTTGTTTCTGTCATCTGCTCTCTATCCTGAGTTTCTTGATGGTGGAAACTGTAATTTATTCACACTCAATAAATATATTGAAGTAATGTGTTTTTTTCCACCCATGTTGAAAACTCCAGTGACTATTACAAACTCTAAAAGGTATAATAATGTTAAAATGGGGGGGAAAAATCTAAGATTGTTTATATCAAGATTCAGCAGAATATAACAACAAAAAAAAAGAAACCTCAAGTGAAGTGATAAATTAAGAATGACTTAATTATAGCCTGAGAAATTCTAAACAAGAAAAAATCTTTAGTGCTAAATACCAACCTGATCCCTTAGGAATTGCTTATTGATTTCTACTTCTTTGAGTTGACTAATTTGTTTGTTTTTTTTTAAATAGGAAAAGCTTAAATTAGAATAATGAACATTAATCTAAAATAAAACATAAAAATGACTTATTATACACCAAAAGCTGTCTTAAATAAAAAATTATTTCACAGGGAGAGGTAGTTAAAATTTTCACCTCCAATTATTCCACCTCCAGAAATAAATTTTTGGTCCTCCTCTCAAAAAAAATTTCAGCATAAAATAGCATTTGGTCCAGATAATAACTAATTGTTAGAGGTGTCTATACATTTAAAGTTGTAAAAATGAATAAACAACCAACATACTCTATTTACTTTTAGAGATCTGACCTAAAAAAATAAGGATTTGTCATCGGTTAATATTTACTGAGCACCCACATCGTTTGATACTGTAGTAGGTGCAGAGATGGTAAAAGTCAAAGGAAAAATTAAAATAACTCGTTCTACTAAGTCACACATTCAGAAGATAAACAAAAGACAGGAAAACAAAAAGTTCCTTCAAAAACTTGTCTTACTGCTATGCATTTTTCAACCATTTTAAGCTATTGAAAACTACAGCAACTCAACCCCACATTATGTGTGAAACCTACAAAGTCTTTTCTCAATTGTCAGTGAAACAGGTGTTGAAATTTAGACTTCTCCAGCAGATGAGTATGCTGTTGCTTCTTTTTCTACCCATAATCCAGTCTTTTGATAGCGGACTCCCGAACAAGGTTCCGTTCTGGGACAGAACTGCAGGCTTCTCCAGCTGCCAACCCTGTTTTCAAGGTACAAGCTAAATCTGAATCCACTGGTAACTGCTGACCTTTAAATAAAATCTTCTATCGAAAATACTTAGCATTATTCTAGTATTATGATGTTGTCTATATTCCCAAAAAGATGTTTTCAAATTTTAGTCATATATTTATTAATTTTATTCATTCTCTAATGAAAAATAAACAAGAATTACTCATGAAAGCATGTACCTTTTATTATACCAAAGTAAATTCTGAGTGAATTTTCCTCTCATTAACCAATGACTGCTGTCACATAAAGCTAGAGAAATGTTAAAGAATAATAAATACTACAGGCTTTTTGAATATGCCTTAAACATGTTATCACATTTGAAATGGCAGCTACTCAGGCTGATCCGATCCTCAATAAAGTTATTAAAAATTAACACAATCATTTGGAAAATACACTTATTTCACAGCAAAGCATAAGCTCTTCTTAATACACTATTTTTAATAAATTTGTTAATATTACAAAACCAAAGACGGTTCTTTGACAGGCTTTTGAAGTAGTAAATTTACTTTTTGAGATATAATTCACAGACCATGAAGTTCACCAAAGGATACAGCTCAGTGTTTTTTAGTGCATTTACAAACTGGTGCAACCATTACCGCCACCCAACTCCAGGACACTCATCACTACTCATCAGCAGTCACTCCCCCTTCCACCCTCCTGGTCCCTGGCAACTACTAAACTATTTTCTGTCTCTGTGGATTTGACTATTCTATTTCACAGAAGCGAAACTATACAATATTTGCCCTTTTGTGTCTGGCATGATGTTTTCAAGGTTCATCCATGTTGTGGCATGTGTCAGAATTTCATCCCTTTTTATAGCTGAATAATACCCCACTGTATATAGATTTTGATTTTATAATATGACATTTTTCTTGTTACCTATTTAACATTCTTGGATCTCACCTACAACGGGACATTTTGTTGTAAGGTGCGGTCACGACCTGTGTCTTCGCCCACCCTCCATCCCTGCCAAGTCCAGGGCCCAGCTGTGCCGTCCGCATGGCACAGTGGTGGCTGCATTGCTGACAGTCAGGGGAGTGGCGTGGACCAAAGAGGGGCCGAAGGGAGAGCCAGGGTGAGTTAACCCAGTCCTCGGCGCTGCGCCACAGGGAGGTGACCCGTGACGCTGCACAGGGTCCCGCTCTCAGAAGGGCCCTGTGCTTGAACGTAACACTCGATGGTCACTCTGTTGCAATTCTAGCTCATCTTTGAATTTGTGTTTTGTAAGTAAAGTCTGAGAGGACAATGGAGTGTGCATGTTGGGGTTTCCAGCCGCAGTTCTCGGCCAGTCCGCCACCCACCACCTCAGTGGGATGGGTTCATGACTCCCTGCTTCCCCGCTAATGGATGCCTGGGCCCTGGGCATGCCCTACCTTCCCCTCCCTGCCCACTTCCCAATGACTGCTGTATCTTCCCGAGTGAGGGCTTGGCATGGCATGGGGTCAGGGGTCAGGCGTGCACCCCATGGGGACTCAGGGGGAGCACGGTGGCACCATCACCATCAGTGCCGAATTATGTTTTCCAGGAGATGATTCGGTGGGGGTATGAGCTCAGGGGTAGCCTTTCTCCCGCTCCCCATCCAAATACCAGACACATCCTGCCATGAGGCAGCCCACCCTTGGGGGTCATGTATGCACTGGGAGCTGGACTAGTGGACCACTGGAAGAAGAGATACCTGGAAGGGAAAAGATGAAAAAGTTCCAGAGATGAACAGTAGTGATGGTTGCACAACAAAGTGAATATATTTAATGCCAAGAACTATTTTCTTAAAAATGGTAAAAATGATAAATGTTATATTATATATATTTTACTTCAATCAACCAATAGAAACTATGCTCTTACCAAGGGGGGTCCTGCCAAGAAAATGGTACCCTGCCTGCGTACAACGATGTTTTCATCAGCCATTGCAGGCACGTAAGCACCTCCTGCCGTACAGGAGCCCATGACCACCGCTATCTGGAATCCAAGCATATGAGAAACTCATCAGGTTTAGCCCAGTGAATTATACAATCTTTGGAACTATAGGCCCATAAACGTTGCAGTACCAGTGGACACTACTAGCTGGTCCCTTTACTTCATTTTAAAAGTGGAGTCCTCAAGCCCTGGCCAGGTGGCTCAGTTGGTTAGAGCATCATCCCAACACAATAAAGGGTTGCAGGTTCAATCCCTGTCAGGGCACATTACTAGGTTGCGGGTTCAGTCCCTGTCAGGGCATGTACAGAGGCAACTGATTGATTTTCTTACATCAATGTCTCCCCCTCCTACCACCACCACGTCTCTAAAAATCAATAAACACATTCTCAGGTAAGGATTTAAAAAGTTAATACACAAATAGATAAAAATGGAGTCCTCTAAATATTTGAAATAGTTTCCTAACTTCTTTTATCAAAGCATTTTGAAGAGCTTGTGTCACACTTCTACAAAGTTTATGGACAATCTCCTTGTCAGAGGGAAGAACGGTCAGAAAGACCGGTAGCCTAAACAACTAATGGAGAAGACACTCGCAACCCACTCATACATTAGCAAGACTGTATGAAAGGATAACTTTTAAATCTAATAATAGTAAGTTCTCTAAACAACTGCCACTTACCTCACAGGAATACTGAAAAAATTCTCCAAGTGAGTGTTAATACTGCATGTTACCCTGAATTTGATACATTCTAAATATAAAACTAATGTTAGCATCACAGTTGAAAATCTTGCTCGAAAGGAAGTCAGCTGTTTTGAAGCTGGGTGATACACACAGGACCGCTCATGGCACTATTTAGTCTGCTTTTGTATGTGTTTAAAATTTACCATAATAAAAGCTTTAAAATATTCTTTCTTAGAGACTGGTATAACACAAAGAAAAATAAATATGGGTTTGGCAGTTACCTCTACACAGGAATAAATAATGTCATTAAAAAGCAGGAAAAGTACATAATAGATATTTTCTTAAATTATCATATGAAAGCAGTTGTTGCTACTAATTCTGATATTATCGGTTTTCCTTACAGACAAACAAATATCTGTTTTGAAAAAAAAAAAAGCCACACAAGTCAACATTTTTCCATCTAAATGGCTGTTAACAAAAAGCATTTTTCCCTATTTCATGTATGTTATTAAAAATGGCTGCAATATTTCTGTCAATGTATTACAGCAATGTTTATCCCTTCTTGTTTTTACTTATCAATCACCCAGAAGTTAGTTTTCAAAATATCTATGGCTAGAAAAACTCACACCTGTGAAGCAGTGTTCATAATAGTGAAAATATGAAAATAACCAACATGCCCATCAATACAATATTTTGAATGGCTAAATAAATTATCGATAAGTAAGTTCTTTAAAAACCTAAGGCAATAATAATGAAATGTTAACAATTCATAAATCCAGCTGGAGGGGAGGTGAGTGTTTTGCTCTATTATTCTCTGTACTTTCTACATGTCTGAAGTATTTTATGGGCTCTTTCTTTAAGGTTCCATCGGGAGCAAAGGACACGACTCCATCCTGTCAGCCTGTTCTCTGTCCCAGAACACCAGATTCTGCCTAAACTATTTCAGGGCTACAGAAAAGTCAAGGAAGTAGAGGGAAGAATTATAATGATATAAGTACCTAGAAGAGGACACCTCAAAAGTAAGACTTATAGAACTAAACAGGCACAGCAGGGCCCCATGGAAACAACAGGAACTTAAAGCAGAGGAGAGACCAGCACTGCCAGTGAGTATTCAGAGCCCGGGGGTGGGCATGCAGGTTGGGATGGAGGAGACGAGGACAGGGGGCTTAGTTTGCCAAAAAGCAGTAAGACAAAACTGAGGAAAATGATTTTGTCAATTTTATGTCAATTAAAAAAAACATTAAAAACAACAAAGGAAATGAAACTGAATGCCATCACGCCATCTCAGGTTGGGGGAGAAAGATCTACCAATTCAGCAGAAAAGTCTCACAAGTGAAGAGCTGACAAATTATTGGCACATCTACAACAGGGAATTTTACCATATTCCTAGTGCACTTCAGATGCACGTTCTCCACAGTGCCCCCGAAACCAAGGAAACCAACCACCCACTTCTCTGACACCAGCCAATAATGGCCTCCCAATAATTTTTTCATTTAATTTTTGTTTCTCTTAGCAGAAGTTGCTTAAATTTTGTTTTGTTAGATACGTGTGACTGGAATAGGAGTAGCCTTTCTTACTGATGAAAAATTTGAGAATTTTGACTCCTGTATACTTAGTAACTCTAGCTCTTACTTTAAAAAGTGTTTTTATAGCAACTTTATTAAGTTATAATTCACATACCATACAGTTGACCAATTTATTGTGTTCAGTGGTTTTTTAGGGTATTCACACTGTTAAACATTTTTATCCCGCCAAAAAGAAATGCCATTTTCATTAGCAGTTATTCTCCATTTCCATCCCGTCTCCCCAACCCCTGGCAACCGTGAATCCACTTTGTGTTTCTATGGATTTGCCTGGACATTTTATACAAATAGAGTCATACCGTAAGTGGTCTTTTGTGACTAGCTTCAGGGCTTGCCCATGTCTTTCTCTTGGTTTAAAACTGTCCCAAGTCTTCAGTTGTGTGCTTCAGTTGCCGTCTGTTAAGGTAAGATGGTTTTGCTCTCTGTATTAGTTACCTATTGCTGCAGGACAGATCACCCCCTAAACATAGCAGTTTAAGACAACATCTGTTGTGTCACAGCTTCCCTTGGCCAGGAGTCTGAGCACATCTTAGCTGGGTCCTCTAGCTCTGGTCTCTCTCATGGCTGCAGTCATCGGGAGGCTTGACTGGGAAGGAATCTTTTCCTGTCTCATTCACGTGGTTGTTGGCAGGATTCAGTTCCTTGCAGGACTCATTCAGTTCCTTCTGAGCTGTTGGCCGGAGGCCTTCCTAGTGCTCTTCCCCGCATGGGCTTCTCCATAAGGCATCTCACCACGTGTCGGCTGGCCGCACCGGAGTGAGCAAGCAAGTGGGCAGGAGAGAGAGTGCCAGCAAGATGAAGACACAGTGTTTCATAACTTGATAACAGAAGTGACATTTGTCATTTGATAGAAGCACATCCTCAAGGGGACGAGATTGCACAGGACGTGAACGCCAAAGTCAGGGATTATTGGGAGGCCATTATTGGCTGGTGTCAGAGAAGTGGGTGGTTAGTTTCCTTGGTTTCGGGGGCACTGTGGAGAACATGCATCTGAAGTGCACTAGGAATATGGTAAAATTCCCTGTTGTAGATGTGCCAATAATTTGTCAGCTCTTCACTTGTGAGACTTTTCTGCTGAATTGGTAGATCTTTCTCCCCCAACCTGAGATGGCGTGATGGCATTCAGTTTCATTTCCTTTGTTGTTTTTAATGTTTTTTTTAATTGACATATAATTGACAAAATCATTTTCCTCAGTTTTGTCTTACTGCTTTTTGGCAAGTCACCCAAAGTCACCACTGTTACACTGTCTCCTCATTGTGAATTCTGAGACATTCACTCGCAAAATAGAGCGAGTGTGCACCAGCAAGAGCTCCGCCGTGTGTCTGCTCCTCCTCAAAAAGCGCAAGGACCCCAGGGCCAAAACAGCACTGAAGGGTTTGCAAGTCCCAGAGCACTGGCCTGTGGTACAACGAAGACCTTACGCTGGGCCACTGTGGACTAAGGATCTGGAACCCCAGAAAGAAAATTCTGCTTTCTCTACTACAAGGATATTAAAAGGGCATAAGAGACTTGACTATAAACTGTTCTGATCATACTCGGAGTTGCATGGGCGGCTCAGCACAGGCACTGTGCCAAGGGAGACATCCCATGACCCTCAGGACCTCATGACACCCAGAACAGTACTGAGTGGCTACAGTCCATGCAGTCACCTATGAGATGGGTCTGCTCTATGACATGGACAAACCAAGAAGTTGGTCTTGCAGGGCGAGGAAGCACAGGTGATTCCAAGACCCGAGTCAAGAGTAAAAAAGCATGAAATTCGACGACCAACTTACCCCATATACAAAAATAAACTCAAGATGGAGAAAAGACTTAAATATAAGTTGTCACACAATAGAAGTCCTAAAGAAGAACGTAGGCGGGAAACTCTTAGATATTCCACGCAGCAATATTTTCACCGATATGTCCCCTAAAGCAAGGACCATAAAGGAAAGAATAAACAAATGGGACTTCATCAATATACGAAGCTTCTGCACAGCTAAAGAAAACATCAGCAAAATGAAAAGGGAACCAACTGTATGGGTAAATATATTTGCCAATGATACCTTGAACAAGCAATGATCTCCAAAATATATAAACATCTCACACAACTCTACTCCAGGAAGACAAACAATTCAATTAAAAAATGGGCAAAGGACTTGAACAGACGCTTCCCCAAGTCTTCCTTTGAGACCCAGAGACATATGAAAGGATGTCCAGCATCACTAGCCATCAGAGAAATGCAAATTAAAACCACAATGAGATACCACTTCGCACCAGTCAGAATGGCCATCATAAACAGATCAACCAACGACAAGTGCTGGTAAGGCTGTGGAGAAAAGGGAACCCTAGTACATTGTTGGTGGGAATGCAGACTGACCCAGCTACTGTGGAAAACAGTTTAGAATTTCCTCAAAAAGCTAAAAAATAAGAACTGCCTTTTGATCCAGCAATCCCACTGCTGGGATTACACCCTAAGAATCCTGAAACGCCAATTCAAAAGAACCTATGTGCCCCAATGTTCACAGCAGCATAATTTACAATAGCCAAGTGTTGGAAGCAACCTAAGTGCCCATCAAGAAATGAGTGGATCAAAAAATGATGATACAGCCCTGGCTGGTGTGGCTCAGTGGATTGAGCATCAGACTGAAAAGCAAAGGGTTGCCAGTTCGATTTCTAATCAGGGCACATGCCTGGGTTGCAGGCCAGGTCCCCTGTAAGGGGCGCGCGAGAGGCAAGCACACATTGATGTTTCCTTCTCTTTCTCCCTCTCTTCCCCTTTCTCTAAAAATAAATAAAT